ACACCTTTACATAATTTGTATATTCTAGCTCATTCATCTTCGTTATTTAACATTCATTCAAGTTCATTAACATAATGATTTTTCTACCCTTTACTAAAATGGTATTAATAAAACGACTAAGTACTTTTGGTTATGGTAATGCTGGTTATAAATACAAGATAATGTATCAAGTGAAAATAAATACAAACCATCATCCTGTACGCAAAATTATTTTTTCCGACAACACAAAGGAATACTTTGGGGAACGATTTTGCAATGTTTTGTTGTTGAGAAACCAAAACTAAAACATGTTATTTATTGATTCTGACCTTTAAGTACATGTACAACCACACCTGCCCAACACTGATGACTGCACATGGGAAATCAACCTTCTTGGTTTTAAAAGCAACATTTTAATAGTCCAACAGAAAGGAACTACTAATCACTGTATAACAGAGTAAATTAAGAGAGTTTGTTAGTATAATGCTGAAATCCTCCTAGAACAATTTAGTAAGATTACAAAGAAGACTTAAATGTTGTGAAAAACATCAACTTTGTAATTAATAAGAAACTTTTCCTTCCTCCTTTGATAACCCCAACTATGCAAGCCATTTTCTTTTACTGTAGTTTTAAAATTTGAAGGATAGTTCCTGATTTGTTGTTATAACTGCAGTGCAAGTACATAATATGCCTTGAGTATCCATGTAAAGGCATGTATGCCACCATGTATCACAAATCCCCTGCTAAAACAAAATCAGACAAGCATGCTTGCCGATGATCAGTCACGACCACAAGCACAGAAAGACAAACACTTTAGGGATGGTGAACACTTAGGAGGTGCATCAAATGTGCATACAAATATAAAATGAATAATTTTTCAAAAGTTGTGCCAAACTGCCTGTTCAGCTTTGCTCTTCTTTGGTGAATGAGTAACATTTCTTGGGATAAAGCAACTTAATTTTCCTTACATGGAAAAATGTTCATCTGCTATTAAGGGTCTTGACACCATGATCATTCATATATTTGCCAAACAGATGGAAATTTGTGATCACCTGCAACATGCAGTAGCTACCTTATTAAATTGTGGTTAATATGACACAATGAAAGGGAGGCCTGGACAAAGTATGTTCTGCATCTGACTGCTGTTAGCAAGTACGATCCCATTACACTTTACGAGCTATCGCATGAAGGAGTCCATGTATGTTCCTATACCCACATCTGGGAAAGGTCTTCAGGTCTGAGCTTTTAAACAAATAGATGAGCAAAGCATCAAAAAAATATTTCCAGGGTGGATTCAGGGAAGGGGTTTTGCACTGTCCGCTTCTCCCATAAGAGGCTGAAACTACAGGAACTGTCTTCTTGTACAATCACATTAAGTTTTTCCATTACAAAAAAAACTCACAAGAAGTCCCTGAATAGGAGGCCCACTACCACAACCTCAATGCTGTAGAGTCTGTGTTAATGCTGTCGCATTAGAATTTGTACAGCGGCATTTAGTTGAATTTTGTTACCAGTCTTCGCTCGGACAAGTGACACAGGTTTTCATTGTTCGAGACAAGGTTGTACCTCGGCCAACCTAAACGAATTTCAGGGCGTTAAATTTGCTTTAAGTATCTTGTTGTCAACGGTTTTACTCATCCTCTATAAACGGAAAGATTAAACGGAAACGGAGGGCGATGTAACAAGGAACCTTAAGGAGTGATTAAAGATACAAACAATTCTACGAAGCCGAGCGTTTTACATGTAATCTTCAGGACAGTATTTATTACCGACAGTTACAGTACAACCTTATGAATAGTAAACATTAGTTATGGATGGCGAATTACAACGAAAGAGTGTCACATTCGAAAATGATCTACAGATGGATGATGTTCTGGGCGAATTTGGAATAAGAAAGGATCTCCCAGTGTTCAAGTCGAACGAAACGTCACCAGAAAGTTCGCCACTTGCAATTTCACCGCTTAACACCATTGAAGATACAGAAGTCGAAGAAAATGTCAGAACTGAAATTCGGAAAAGGATTCCCACTGGAAAGGCTAGGGAATTTGAAGTTCAAATATTTAAGGATAATCGTAGGAAGGCTTTGCCTCCTACAAGTCCAACCCTACGTCCTCGTCGTGGGAGGTGGAAATGGGTAATGCCGGCTAACAGGGCTCTGGTGAAGCTTGGTAGGCCAATCACCTGCCAAGTGGATATGCTACGATTACAGAAACATCCACAAACAGAAACACGTTTACAGACATCTTGGCAGGAGAAGGCCCTTCCGGGAGAATGACGCGGCAGAGGCAAAGCCAGAAGGACCCTCGGCGGCTGACTAGCCTTCTTTCTCCAAAAAACATCATCCATTGCAGAGGAAATGAGGAATACAACCTGGAGATNAACTAACTATTGTGGTAAAACGAGTTTGGACGATGACAGACTATAGGCATTAAACAGATCGAACGTCTTCCGCCATTTTGGAATTTAAGGGGTGAGTGATTTCCAGTGAATTTAAGAGGGGGTCAGTAAGAGGGGGGAGGGTCAGTAGGGGGTTAATTAGTTGATCCGGGGTCAGTGTTTTGTCCTAGCCAAGTTAGATGAGCTATTTGTAGAGCTGCAAGAAGCACACGAGCGTTACCTAAATGCTTTGACAAATGAATATGAGATTTGAGGAGGGTCATGAGTGGTTTGGTATCCATGATAAAGATGTGTTTACCTTAAAGCAAAGTGTTATTGAATTTTTAAATCAAGCGAAGAAGCAACACAATGATGGTGAAATTAGCTCAGTAAGATCTCGATTGTCCAGTCGTTGTAAGCGTTCTGCCAATTCCTCATGTTCTTCAAAGACAAAGTTAATGGAAGCTAAGGCTAAGGCTGCTTCCTTAGAAATTAAAGCAGCATTTTTGAAAGAGAGGCAAGCACTTAGGATGGCTACTGAAGAACTTGAGTTTAGACAAGAAATTACACAGGCTAAAGTAGAAGAAGAGTTATATGAGCAGTTTGAAATGGAGCAAAACATTGATGACATGGACGATTATCTAGAAAAAATGAAAGTACAAAGCACCTCGACACCCATCTCTTCTCAAGCCATCTCTAGTACTCAAGTTAAATTGTTAGTTGCATCTGCAAGTAACAGTATTTCTAAGGATCAGCAAGGACCAGCTGTTGTGAATTCTGTAACTACAGCTCCTAAGGTTACACCCTCAATCACACCTATCTCAAGTAGTCCTGCATTTACAACTTCTAGCATGAATCCAAGTGCTCAACCCTTCATTTCTGAAAATTTGTTTACAAAGCCAGAAGAGCCTGCTGTATCTGTTGTCCCTAAGCATTTGTACAACCCACAGAGAACTCCACACTCCTCTAGAAGAAATTCAAGTCCTGTATTTAATGAAAGTACATATCAAGAGTTTATAAATGTTCAAAAAAAAAAACAAACGGAACTGTAAGAAATGATTGTTGCACAGCAGGCTAGAAGTGAATTGCCGTCTCATAAGCCACCCACGTTTTCCGGAGATGTCATGGCTTACCCGTCAGGGAAAAACCACGTGTAGACTGTGATGAGAATTTAACCCTAGGTGCTCGAGCAATTGAACACAAACTGAAGGGTTGGATAATCAGAGTATTTATAAGAAAAAGCGGCGAATCAAAACAGTATAGCCAACGGATGACAAAATTGAAGTTGTAGATGTGAGCGTGGTTCGAACTAAAGTCAAACGATAGAAAAGAAAAAAGGAAATTGGCTTATTTGAGCTAATACTAAAACAACTCAAGAATACTGATAAGGAACACGTGTTATAAATAAAACAAAACGATTTGC